TTTTTTTTTTTTTTTTTTTTTTTTTTTTTTTTTTTTTTTTTAAACATGCTCCCACTTGACCACAGACATGATGTGTGACTTGACACTGACTGCTAGCTGTTAATAGTTAGCTTCTATGATAATTAAATTGGCGACAGGCCAAATGGTAGTGACAGTGGATCGTAAATTAGGCTGGCGTGGATTGGCAACAGATAAGCGGAGTGGCACAAAGAGGTGAAGGCAGGGATGAATGAAGGAGAAGAGATGTTTTACTGCAGAGGCCTTCAGAAAATACAGCAGAGCCTGGCAGTTATATGGTTCGATCAACTTACCATTAAACTAAGAGAATAATAACCACAGTATCAACTCTATATGTCACACTTTGTTCTTGCTTTTATAAACGCAAATCACAGTGTATTACAGAGTAAAACATAAATATAAATTGAAAAAACAGCACTTTAGTGTCAAACCGTGAAATGTAAAGGGATCTGACATCGTGTCGACATGGTATGGAGACTTTCCTCATGAGAAAGAAGGAGAGCATTTTAAGATCCTCTACCAGAAAAAGCCTGGAAGTGTGCGCTGTAAACTCTTTCAGGGCACACACGTGTCTTAGTTCACACTGACTGAGAGGCTGACGTGCACAATGCCCCCTCCCTCCTCTTGGTAATTGGAGCATACGCACCAGCTGGCCTGGCCAGCCTGACTGACAGACAACAACAGTCCAAAGTGACTAAAGCAAAACTCAGCGTTACAAAGTTCCAACACGGAGAGGCAAAAGAAGACGTTTCAGAGGCTGGATTAACCAATTTGAGGATCTGTTTGGAGAAAGAGGGGTAACCTTCAAAGAGGGGGTCAACATGAAAAGTCTAGAGATGTTCTTCCTGGCCTGTTGCATGTGTAGCCTTAGCACTTTGGGAGGTAAGACAAGCTGGCGCAAGAGATTTGATTTAGGCCCGTGTGATCGTATCATACGCCCATGGTTACCAAAGTTTCATAGTGGAATACGTTTAAACCCAGCGGTAATCATTGTGAATTGCTGAATGAATACACAAACAATGGTAATATACTTATAGGGAAAAGACAAAGATAGAAAGAATATGATAATCCTTCCATGGTAGTGGCCCTATGTAGCTCTTACCACTTCCTATTTGGCTAAGTGTCAACATTTCCAAAGAAGTTATACACATGCTATGAAAACTTAACATGTTCTTAATCCTCACTAGTGTTACCATCTAAATTTGCCTGCATGTTGGCTGTGACTGCTTTGAATCAAATGCTAACATGATCTTTTAATGTGTTTATTGTGACATTTGAGACTGTTGGGTTGAATAAGTAATATGCATACATAATATGCATCTCACACATTTTGACTTGCTCTCTATTTAAAAATGGTACTCATCACAAAGCAACAGGCACCTTGAGTGGCGATGTGTAGAGTTTGGCAGTAAGCTCTGTAGGACATCTAATCCTGCCATTTTTTTATAACAGTGGCAGATAAATAGGCAGCTCTTATAGTTGTGAAGTGACTTTAACTACAGAACTAAATTACAGGGATCCATTCAAAAGATGTCTGTAGTTTACTTTTTAAATACCAGGGATGATAAATTGATGGACCAGAGTGTGTCAATCTTGATCAAAGCAGCAAAATAACCTTCAATGAAGTATTTTGCTTGACATGTCAGATTGATTGGGAATGCTTAGATTGTATTCCTACAACAATCTAAGCATTCCTACAGAAGCACCCCAAAACTAGTCTAAAATTCAAAAAGAAATAATGAAGGCCATCTTAATGTCAGATTTAATTATGCTTTAGTCAAGCCAGTGATCTGAACTGGGATGCACGAAAAGTTTACTTCAGGCATATAAAAGCACCCTCTGCTCCAACTCCTGGTCATCAGCAGCCTTTTCTGTGCATTGCTGGGCGATCGTTGTCATTTATTCCTGTCAGGTCAGTCCGTGCTGGGGCTTCAGCCACAGCAAGTGTGATGGATGCTGCCCCACTAGTGCTGCTGATTATAAATGCGTCTGACCTCTCAACATTGGGGTGAAAATGGTTGCAAGTAAAATCGGGTTTAAATGTGAAAAAGTAACAGAAAGGATACACTTGGATTTTGATATATTTGGACATTTACTCACTCACTCACTCTTTTTTAAACTAGACTCGCCAAATTCCCTTGCCTTCATAGTCTACCGTTTTATCAGTTTAAATGTTTGTTTCAGAATCCCTTTTTAAAAATCTTGTTTTCTTTCGTTTTTTTTTTTTTAAGAAAACCCCATCCATGGAGCATGCTCTGTAATCTCCTTTTCCACAATCCCTAACTTTCTTTCCCAGCCCTCCTTTGAGCTGAGCGTGTGCCTGTTGAATTGATTGTGGACTTTTTAGCATCACTGAGAAGTTTAGCCCTGCAATCAGTGATTGCGTGCCACAGGCCCAGCCAGCCAGCTCGAGAGTGCTTGCCTTGCCACTCAGTGTCAACAGTGAGACGTATTTATACAAAACAAAGGAGCAAAAGAAAATTTTCCTTTGGGTTCATTTAGAACCCTGCATGATATGCTGAAATGTTGCCCTGCTTAATCTGAAAAGCATGAGCTTCGACATTAAAACGACGAAAGACAGTATGACACCCGAATTGTGTCGAGCTCACCTTCACTGTGTGTCGTTCAGGTGCTGCTGAAATAGAGCAGACTCTGATGAGAGAACTCTTTTCTGGATACAACCTGAAGGTCCGACCAGCACGCACCCCAGAAGAAAGGGTGGTGGTCCGTGTGGGCATGATACTCTCTTCTTTTGTTGGACTGGTGAGCTAAAACGTTCATATACAGACACACTCATATTAACCATGTACACGCATTAACATAAATACAGTACCAACGTTAAACTGTCGAAATCTGTTTTTTTCACTTACTGCCCAAGAGGCTGCTGTATGTTTGTTTCACACCCCGTTTTGAGTAAATGCCTCCTCCTCAGCAGCCAGAATAAAATTTGTGAAAAATAACAGGAAAATAATGCTGGCTTTGAATCCTCAGCCCTAAATCCAAAGGCAATATGTCCACAGGCTGAATATGACATTGATCGACAAAGACCACGATGCTCTGCAGCTATGGAGATGACTGAGTGGGCTAATGCTTGCGTCTTCTGCTCATTAATGTGATTTTCTTGCCTGTTGAGATTGCCTGGTGAGCAGTTTTTGCTCAGACGTGACAGGTATATCTTTCACCTCCCAAGCTACGAGGTAATAGAGGTTATTTGTGAAAGACGCACGAGCACCTGCGGTTGTTCAGTCCGAACGAGAAAAGTGTGAAGAATGCACCATGACATGACTCACATTTAAGATAATTGTGCCCCTGCACCAATGTGGTTCTTAAAGCAGCTATCCAGCAGTTGTGTTGATTTTTCTTTTTTTTTATAAGTAACACCATTTACGACAAATTCATTAAAATGCTACTCCACTTCCTTTGTATTCCAAAACAGTTTACCAGGATTAGATTAAGGCTGACAGCACACTTTTAGAGGTGACGTCTTACGAATGGGCTTCTCAAAAGTTAAAGCATCAATATCCTGCAAAACACGTGTGTCAACTTGCTTTTATTTGGCTCATATGTCTTTGGGACAGCTGACCTAATTACTTAATTTCCCATGTCCTTCCTTCCTCATTGAAAATAAATGAACCAATAAGATTCTAAAGAACTTCAAATATATCACCTATGGGTTGAGGATGTGTCCACAACACACACCACCGCAGATTGACTGTGTGGAGGATCTCAGAGCAGTCATTGCGCTTAACATGCAGGAGCTCTCAACCAGAAAATCTAGCTCTTTTCGCAATAAGCTCTGCCTCTGACATGTTAATATGATGCTGAGGTTTTGTCTCTATGACAATGAATATAACTGCATTTGCAACAAAAAGAGGCAGAAACTGTGTTATATCACCAAAGTGAAGTACTGTATTTTTATTGCGCTATGGTTGGAAAAAGCTTTAGCCCCATGCACGGAATGAGCTGTTGGGCTGTTTTTCGGGTCCCTAATTTTCCGCTTGGCTCTCCTCCCTGTGGTGTCCAAACCCCCGCACACATTGCATCCCCGCAGTAAGCACGCTCCTCACAGCTCCGCTCAAGGTCAGTCTCACTCCGGAAAGGAAGTCACGTGGGACTATGTAAGTTCAAGAGTGTAAAAATCTTGAAAAGTGACCCACTCTTATTTTCATTCTCCCCTTGGTTACCCAAGAGCTTTCATTAAATCACCAGAGAGAAAACTGAATGAACAGTCATTGTGTTTCCTTTGAAGGAAAGAAACTGTTTCAGTCTACCCTAGAACCCCACTCATTAAGCCCCAGCTGCCATTCCTAGTTGGGTTTAAAATAGCGGGTCGGATTTCAGAAGCTTGTCCCTTTTGCACAACCATGGGACAGATGGTAATCATCAGCCAATGCAGTGCATCACTTTTCACAAATGTGACGATGAATCATTTGAGACAATGTGCACAAATAAAGTTATTTGTTAATGCCTCAAATCTCTGTTAACCAAAGAAAGGTGACAGTTTTGTCCTTAAGATATATTGGGATGAGAACATTTGTTTTACTTGTCTGTTTGTGTAAACAACTGCATACATATAGACTCATACTAACCCTACCCCTTTATTTTGATGACATAATTTGTCCCTCTTCTTTTTTGGTAGCAAGGATTATCCATCATCTGGCCCTTTAACCAGGTCAACAGAGCCATACAAATGCCATCATGACTAATAGTCCTCAACTATAATTTTGGGGAATCACTATTGTACCATCACTGCTATACTATCACTGCACCTCATAGTGAATGCAGGGTTTCTGGTACTTTATGTTGAAACAGAGATTGCCCAATTATTCATATTCTGTTTCATATTTTTCCCTCAGAATATGAAAAATGAAGAAATGAGCACTGTTGTTGTGATGAATCTGGTAAGTCTTTTAACATTACTCTTCAAACTGTAGGTCGGTGTAGATGTCAGATTCGTTCTACTTTACCCTGAGTGAATGGCCTCCCCCTATTCCTCATATTAACGGCTCAACCCTGAGTTGTAAATTTATTAACTTATTACGTCCTTTTTTATGTACAGCAGTCTATGCACTGTGTGGCTTAACTCTGCATAAATAACCATGACAACTGTGGGAGAGGAGGTAATACCAGGCTGAATGAAAACATATGCAAATTGTTTTGTGCAATCAACAGGGAAATTATTCCCGGGGTACTCTAATTACAACAGGAAAAAAAAATAGACTGAAAAGACAAACTGGTTACATTTACAAATGCAAAGTTTCAGCCTGCTTCCCTTTTCTGTGTGTATGCCTTCTCCAAGTCCTCTGAAAGTTCAAATTTTTCAAAAAGGAATGGACAGACTACCGGTTGGCATGGAAACCGAAGCAGTATGATGGGATTGAGGTGTTACGTATCCCCTCTGGGAAGATGTGGCTTCCTGATATTGTCCTCATTAACAAGTAAGCACGACTTGTATTTTTAAACATGTTTTCTCTTCATCGTCAAGGAACTTCTGTTGTACATTTTGGGATTGCTGCTCTTTAGAATTTTGCCAAATAAATCTTAGATATATGCCACCATTATTACTTTTCTTGCTCATGTAGTTTGATCGTACACCTTTTAAGGAGGAAATGTAATTAAAAAACTGCTGTCTTTGTGTTTTTCCATGTGTATGTTGTTCTGTGTCTGAAATTGTCGGTCATTTATTGAATAGAATATCTGTTGAGGTAAACGGGCAGAATTTATGTTAGGGTTAGAATGCAAGATGCCGAAAAAAACGGAATCCTATTCATTGTGATATGTCCTCTTATATAAAAATATTTTGTTCATGAAACACAATAAATTATACCACACACACCATACAGCCAATATGTGGGAGTTTACAAGTAGTATGCGCTCATACTGGATCAAGATCTATTTAATTTAATAATTTAAAAACCCAATCGTTTACCGATTTTAATCTGATAATGTAAGGATAATGTGTTTTTCATCAAAGTCACTGTTCTTTTTAGTGCTTTTTGTTCCACAAAGACTAATCTAAGGCGTGCAGATACAGACTTTGCCTTTTCCAATCAATTCACACACTAAGAAAAGGCTCACATGAGACAAGGTACAGGCCAGAAGCCTCTCAGTGTGACCATATGCAAGTCATCCTTGTGTTGTGTAAGAAGCCACTTCCATATCATGGACATGGAAGTGTTATTCTCCTGGTTTGTAGTATTTCTTGGATGAATAACATGCTTGAAGGAATAGTGTTTCTGCTTCAAGGTGGCTGACTTGAATATGGGTCTATTATCCATTTGTATGGGACTGGTGTAGCCTAACTGGGTGTGCATGGAGGTGAATAGTTCAGACACAGTTCACAGCGTGACATATTAGAAATCAGATGGGAGGTGAATGGATCATGCATTTGCAGCAGGCCAAACATGTTTTTATGAGTGCAGGAACATTTGTGGTCATTTTGTGGTCATTTTGGTGGCAAAATATGTTTGAGAACAAGTTTGACAGAATTTCACTTTTAAGCCTGATTGAAAATTCCACTTTGACTCAACATACTGTAATTACGTCACGCCTCGGCTCATATTCTGATACTATATTTGCATCTGACGTCCACGCACACTTATTTTGACAACCCGAAAAGGCTTCCTTGACCCATCTCCGCCCCAATTACTCCACAAAGTGTAAAACCTGGATACATGTTGATTTGTATCTTTCCATTTTGTGAAAGAGCTGTAAGTATTCCAGTCAAAAAAATACTTTTACAATACAGAAAGGTCATGGATTATGGAAGGAAAGAATGGTTTAAATGCAGCCCCACCATGCACAAATACATTTCCATTGACTTGTCACACTGAAGTCATAAGTGAGAGGCTTCTTTTCCGGCCAGTTCCCAGTGGATTGTGTCACAGCCGATTGTTCACAGTACACTGCAGCGGCTGCCAGTGGACATCAGGACACAGTTCAGGTCATTCTAGCAGTCATGCAGTGGAAAAACTACCGGTCAATGCATTACATTAAAGAATTTAGATACCGATAGCAGCAAGTGCAGCCTTTTTTCTCACACCTCAGTACACATGCATGGTCCCATTAACATCACTGCAAATATTCCCTCTTTCCATTCATCAACACTTTCTAGGCAATTAAGCAGTATGCCTCCCTAATAGCTGATAGAACTGCTCAGCGACTACAGCTCGTGGGCTTTCACTTGGAACTGCACACATAAACAAATATGTATGCAAACGCGAATACGGGAGGGAGTGCACTTCTCTAAGTTTGTGTGATCAATGCTGGTCATTTCAGCAGCGGCACCTTCACAGATACAGCGCTTTAAGAGCAACCCGCTCTAAAGCACAAGCATCTCCTTGTTCATTTACAACAACCATAAAAAACCACTCTGTGGATAGACAGTGGGTTAAATCTCTGCCTAATTGACCTCATGTCTCTGTGGTGCATTGGACTCTAAGCTTAACTCAAGGCAGCTTACTGTACATCCAACATTAACGAACTTCTTAAGGTGCCACGTCAACCGTTTCATTCACACCAATAAAGTGATTTGTTTCTATAAGTTCATAAGTCACTTTAATCAAAAGTATATGCTGAAATATTAAATGTGAACATGGAAATTCCAAAAAATGTGTTTGTTTATTATCACAGAAGAGAGTTTTGATGAATCTGCATCTGTTTTTTCAGCAATAACGGAGTGTTTGATGTGGCCCTGCATGTCCATGTCCAGGTTTACAGCAGTGGCAGGGTAACCTGGACACCCCCTGCTCTCTACTACAGCTCCTGTGGAGTCAAGGTGAGCAAACAAAACGCATTAATCATTTACAACTCATCGCATACTGCCTTTTGGTGAAGAACTGTTTGTGTCATTTTGTGGGATTTTGTACCCCCTTGTATGTGACTAATGGGAGAACAGGTTGGAAAAGACATTTTGAAGATGCCCTAACCTACCTCCGACTTGATATTTGTTTTTCACTCAATTTCTCCCACATCTGCTCATTCTTTCTCATTTGCACACCTGTATTTCTGTCCAGGTCACATATTTCCCATTTGACTGGCAGAACTGCACCATGCAGTTCCGCTCCTACACATATGACTCAACAGAGATTGACCTGCAGTACGCACTGGACTCAAGAGGCAATGAAATCCGGGAGATCCAATTAGATGAGGCCTTCAGCGGTGAGCACTGTTGGTGTAATTTCATTTTTTCCCACATTGTTCTCATATTCTAATTGTGTCTACAGTGGAGGAGTGTTTCTACCTTTTTGATTATTGCTGCTGTCTGAATCCCTTTGGTTTTCTACAGATGTCTGTGCTTGTATGATAAAAAAAGAAAAGTGGTGCTTCTGCTTAAAATAACTTCTAAAAGCCTTTCAATGTTCCTCCAGAGAGTGGTGAGTGGCACATCAGACACAAGCCAAGCAGGAAGAACATTAACGATGACCTGTATGAAGATATGACATTTTACTTGATCATCGAGAGGAAACCTCTGTACTATATCATCAACATCATCATCCCGTGTATCCTCATCACCATTATTGCCATCTTTAACTTCTACCTACCTCCTGATGCAGGTACATGCTTGAATACGATCTGTTCGGATAGCTTGACTAAGCGAAGGTTGACTACCCTGGAAGTGCACTATCATTAAGGGCATTAATGCATTATCTCTGCCTTATCGCTTACTGGAGCTTTGGTTGGAACCACAGTCATGGATCTTCTGACTACCAACACAATTTAATAATTGTGCATGTGTGTGTTCTGTTTGAAATGGGTAAGCACACATTCATCCCTTTACAGACAAATTCAATTTCAGATAAGGCCCCCGCCTACTGAAGCTGAATCGATAACCTCAAAAGACCCAGCTCGTGATTAAACCGACTATGTCGGGTCAATTTTAGCTCATAATAAAAACTACTGTGAACTTGAATCAAGATGCCTGGTTAGAAGTTTCCCATGAGCTTTCCAGTGATGCAATGTGATAGTAAGAACAATGCTTTAGCTCAGTAGCTTTGTGTGGCAGCAAGCAGCGCTCCAGCATATGGGGCTTCCCTTATTACCAACTGTAACCAGTCTAAGGTGGCACAGTTTATAAGTGACCTCTGAATATACCAGGGGGGGTTGTGCTCTGTCAGCAAGGCATCTACTGATAGCTTCAAACCAAGAGTTAGTACTTGATGATTTGAGAGTGAAAGTGTATTTCTTTTTTTCTCTCCTAGGTGAGAAGATGGGTCTGTCTATTAATGTGCTTCTGACCCTCACCGTCTTCCTCCTGCTGCTGGCTGATAAGATCCCTGAGACCTCACTGGGTGTCCCAATCATCGTCAACTACATCATGTTCACTATGATCCTGGTAACCTTCTCTGTCATCCTGAGTGTGGTGGTCCTCAACCTGCACCACCGCTCCTCCAACACACACAAGATGCCCATGTGGGTTCGCAAGGTCAGTCTACTGCCAAAAAATACTGGGAATGGAACCCACAGACTAGGGTATTGCTGGCCTCTAATAATCTGCAAACAGTGGTACGTCTTTTATCGGAACTGATAAAAGAGCCGTACATCATAAGAAATACAACGTGTGTTGTGTTTACATTTGCAGAGTTGGCACAGGCTTATTTTTCTTTAGCAGGGATCATCTTTCGAGACAGCAAAACACAAGGAAGCTTATTTCTTTTTGTCAGAGGCGTTCACAGATTACCAGCTGGCAAATCACAAAGACAACTGCACAGCTCTATCTTTAATATACAAACCTTCGTTTTTCTCAGTATCGTTCATCAAAATACAGGCATCGTAAGTGACATCAATAAGACGTCATTGTCATTGTTATTTGGGATCTTAACAGGCCATAAATAAAAGAAAGAAACACATGTCTGTTAAACAAACAAATTTTGTCTGGTAAACTACTTTAACACAACACAAATTCATCTGAGAAATAACATTTTAAAAAGTGAATCAAATAAAATATAATTAGCTTCAACTTAATTGCAAGTCCAGACTAAAGTTAAATTTAAGCACACCATCTACCGCCATGTTCTATTACTGGAGTAAGTCGTGTTAGTGAAATAATTCATTAAAGTTACTTTAATTTAGTGTTAATATTCTAAGGGAGGCCAGACTAATTTGGGTTAAGGCAGACTGCTAAATTAGATTGACGCAGTCCTCAACACGCTAAACCTCATGTTATGCCATTAACCTCCTTCTTCAGCTGTTGCCCTCTCTGTACATTATGTGGAGCTGATAACACGCCTTAGCAGCACCTATATTATTTTGTCTTAGTTCTGTCATGGTTTCTGGGGACATGTGCCTTCCATATGCTCATGTACTGCTCAGACAGGTGATTTGCATGATTTAATGGAACTGCGTTGTTTCAGCCTCATTTGTTGGAAGAGGGGTGCTTTATCTTATTTAGTTTTGAAACTACTGTTTAGTGATGATCAGTGATCAGTAATACATAATGCTTGTTTCTAAATTAGTTGGTTCTTTATGGCTGTTCTAATTTTGTGTTCCGTTCAGTATTTTTCCATCATCTTTCATTTCAATCCATCTCTTTAAGCCAATAAGGCTTTAAAAGAGGAAGTGGCAGGAAAGTGACAGAGATTGATATCCCTCGGTGCTGAGGAAGCAAATCCAGTTATAAGATATATGCAGGTGTCAATAACTTCTTTCCCATTCAGCTGCAGAATTACTGCAAGAGACACATTTAATCAACCTCCACATTTGATATTGCTTGTAATTAGAAAATGATCAGTCTCAAACATTAAAAGTCCTCCTAGACCATATAATAGCAGTCATCCATGCCTTTAAATCTAAAGTAAGTGAGTGCTGAAGACTAAAGAAGGCACATGTATGTGGGTTGTAAGCTCTCTGAAAAAAAACAATACATTTTTCAGCCATCAATACCTGGATTCCTCGTCCCCCCCGGCGTTTTAGCTCAGCTTATGTTCATGTCTTTGAGCTGTTTCCGCGCAGCCCTGCTGTTGATTTTTATACTTTTTCTAATGTGTCTTTGAGACTCTCAAGACGTTAAAGCAGCTGAGTTACTGCAGCTATGGTTGAGGATGTCTTTATAGATGGAGTGGTGCTCTCTGGGGTGTAGTTCCTTCTCTTGTACTCTCAGCTTATTGTGATCCAGGCTGTGGCAAATCTAACAGATGCCCAAAAAGATCAATAAGAAAGAGACTACAGTGGATGGGGGGGGGGGGTCTCTTGGGGTTTGACATGAAAAAAGGATTGTCTATTGTAGTGTTTAATCATCTGGAATTAAACCAACCTCTATGCTCTTTGAACTTATTAAACGTGTCGATATGATTGTTTTAAAAGGTTTCTCACAAATGGAAAATGTATCAAAGGATATTCTGGAAAGTAGATTTTACTAACTAAATTTTTACTGTTATTACAAAAGTAACCTTGTCTCATTTGATTCCTGGTAACAGAAAGGTAGAGGATGTACAACTGTTTGATGTGGAAGAAGTGGCTATGATGTAAAGGGAGTGAAAGTTTTTTTCTTTTTCATTTTTTTTAAAACTTGAACAGGCTCATGTATTATTTGTTGGTTCAGATACAAATTTGATCAAATATATTCAGTCAAGTGATAGTTTTTCCTTATCCTGGCCTGGAAGTGACAAGGTGTTTTAGTAAAGTGTTGATATGCTATTTGTGGTGCCCAAAAGTCTAACCTTAAGGTTTGAATTAGAACCAAATTTAATTACCTTCTTTTATTTTACTTAAAAAAAATCATTTTTCACATTCAATTTCATTTGAATGAAATGTATTCCTTTTGTAGGTTAGGATAATCATTTGTTGCATTAACAAATTACCAATAGGTTGTTTGGAATGGAGGATTTGGTTGGGTTATTCTTATGTGTTATTACAAAGTTTATTCCTTCTCTGAAATTTGCCTTTGCAACTGAAAAATACATATGCTCTACATGCTTATTCTCCAAGTACTTGCTGCTTCAGCAGTCCCAGAAAAAAACAATATTTCATTGTTTACTTGTATTTCCAGTCAAACTGCTAAGTCTAGTACTTACTCTCTTTAATGTCTTATATAGTGTCAACTAATTTCTGTGAGAAATATCAAGCTCTAAATGCCAAACTATTACGGTCTGCAGTCGGCTTTTGATATTCAGGAGGAGCAGTGGAGCAAAACAGAAAAAGTGTGGACTGGTAAAAGACTTCCCATCACTTCTCATAGCTATCAGTTTAGCCTTCCTACTATTCATAATTTTGAGTGACTCACTGGTCTGCTGTCTCAAGCAAACTGCAGGAAATATTACAGCTGTTGTAGCAGATGGCAAATCAAAAGGTCAGAGGAAGTTACATAATGACATTTGCATATTTGTCTGAATAAATACAAAATGACCATCAACCCTGAAATTTCAAGCCAAGCCTTTCACCTCATGTTTAAATTAATATATTAATATTGCCTGTTCATTTCAAGGAATGTATTATTAACATGCATCTGTCAATAAGGCCAAGCCAAGAGGTATTTGAAAAAAAACATTTAAAGTAGCAGATAAATGATCCATTTATGGCATTTATAAAATTGATTAAAGCTTATATTCGACCCACGATGTGCACCTTCAACGGAAAGTCTTCTGATGCTCTTGATCCTATAGGAAAGGAGACACATCTAATGATTAAATAAAAGGATTTTTCATTCTTTCAGGATACATCCAACATGAATTACTATAGTAATTATAGATACTTTGGCAGTGCCCAGTACAACTATAACCACTTAAGTGCTTTGCTCATCCAGAGTTATGTGCTGTGCACAAGGACACTGTAACAGAAGACAGAGAAATTGCAGAGCAATACCCACTTTGGTTCTTCTAGCCACATCATGCAGCATCAACTGCTCTCAAAAGTCATATCATTTTCAAATGTAACCTTTGGATCTATTTTTCAGCCCTAGTGGTCAAATGCAGAACAAGTGCTCAGTCAATAAATAGAGGACATAAAAATAAGTAAATTAAAACCAAAGGGCTGGAGAGATACGTTGGTGTTTTCTACACCATGGGCAGACATAGAGTGACACTATCCTCCTCTCCATTCCTCTCTATGCAGATCTTCATCCACATGCTGCCCTCTTACCTGTGCATGCTGCGACCGAAGGTGGAGACTCCCCTGTACCTTGAGGTCCTTCCCCGCCGGGAGAAAAAGATGGTCGCCATCAGCAAAGTTGCTGATGAATACTTCATCAGAAAACCTGATTCCTCCATATTGTTCCCCAAGCCTAATAGGTGAGGGGGCGGGGCTTATTGCTCGTTGTTGAACATGTAAAGACAACAAATGTGGAAACTATTCACTGTTTCATAAAAGTTATAAGCTCATCTTGAATTTAATGCGCGAAAGTAAGTAAGTAATTTAGGACAGGAGCATCAATAAAGCTAAAAATGCGGGAGCCGTTAACGGGCCACTTGATTACATTCTCATGCAGGTATTCTGTGCTATTGGTATATAGATGTCAAAAAAACACCTCAATTGGAGCACAGATTGATCATTTTCATCCAAGGTTTTACAGCATGCTGCCCCTGAAGCTGTTGAGTAATGAACTGGATTTGGGCCAATGCTGGCACACAAAGTGGCGACAAACTCTTCTATCACTCTGACCCCAGTCTCCATTTCTTGTACACAAAAAATAAGGGGCCGTGTCCCATTGTTAGTGTGCAGGGCTGTGTTTCTATGCAGTTGGCAATGTGATGTCCTAACTAGTCTGCCTTCATGCTAATAATGCACCCTAAATTCTCAACCTGTCCCCCAATCCTCAAACTCCTTCAAGAAATGTGACATCTCTGAAGGGAAAGAATCGCTGCTGAAATGATAATGACCTGCACAAATTGAGTCTGACACATCAGAGCAGGACGCTTGGTGACTCAGTGAAAGAGTGAGGGGAGGATGGGAGTTTTTAGAGCAATTTGATGAGGCAGCACTATCCCTCGTGAGGCCACACATACACTGCACGCACCTTCTTAATTGGGTTTAGTGCATGTCTTGGCACCAGACACATGCAGTTTTAGTTGAATTAGTCTCCTGAATAGTCATTTACTTCTCGATGATGAAGTGCTACTTTGAGCCATCAAGGAAGGAAAAAGAAGGGAGGGTTAAGAGGCCAAACCGTGCCTCTTCTGCCCTCTTTCTTCGCTCTCTCTTCCTTATCTCTCCCTTTCCCTATCTACCCGATCGGGCTTCACCTCTCTTAGGTCACAGCCTCATCATCCTCGACACTCACAGTCACAGGAGCTGTGGTGATGGCTACGCTGCCTCGTAAACCTCTAATTTCATGCACAGAATACCAAGCAGCTATTTGTCCTGCCCTGTCTAAAACTGAGAGCCACAGAGCCACAGTGCCCTCTGGTGGAGAGCTTTCTAGCAAGCGCCTCAGTTAAAGTGGTGGATTTAGTTTTTTCTTAATCATCTTTTCCAATTTTTTTTGCAAACAAGGTGTTAAAAATTGAGAGTATTTGCAGACAGAGCAGCTCCTCTGTGTTAAGAGAAGTTTTGTCTAATGGGAGGCTTAAAGAAGTGCATAAAAGCGTGATCCTCGTACAGCACCCATACTTAAATAATCTCACAGTAGGAACTGAATTAAGCAACTATAACGAACTGTACAGTTATGAGCACCCATCACAACAGCTGTGAAATGGGAATGAAAAGGCTTGCGTTTCAACACATGGGGCTTTTTTGTGATCAACGATTGGCTGATTTTGCCCTAAATTTGATCAAAATATTGACTTTGTTTGATTTATGTCCACACAATGTCGCCAGTGTGCATATCGAATCCTGAGACACGCCTCCCAAGCTAAATAATACTGTCTGCGACGTTAGATTTGAGCTTTTTTAAAACCAGTAAGAGAAAAAAACTCCCCATAATCTAAAGACCTAAATCCAAAATGCATACAAATTTCAGTTATCTTTCCTCTCTATTTAATCTCCAGATAATGTTGCTTATGTATTGTGGTTAAAAACGTTTGTGAAATTTGACTGTGGCATTAAGTTTCCATATCTAAAAACACAGTTATCATTATGATTATCATTCATAACCACACTAAAATATCAAAATAAAGACATATTGATTAAAATAGCTAAACTATAGTCACATTTAAAAGCTAATTCCATTATCAAATAATCACGCTCTGCAGAGGTATTTGTTGTATCACCACTTTAAGTTATGAACGCATTAGAATTCAGTGTATGTCTCTTAGAGTAGAAAATGCTTGACCATGTGCCATGGTTGAAGGACATCCTTTGCAACAGTGTCAAAAAGCACAACAAAATAGTTAGTGTTGCCTCGAGCTTTTATCAATTGCTGTGTGTGTTCATGAGATGTTAATCATGACACAAACCAAATGGTATTCATGCTAAAGCCTGATTTTTTTTTGGATAGGTGTGACAATGAAGCTGCCTTAAATGCCAACCAATGTGGTTGTGTTTTGTCCTTTTTATTCTTCACTTAAAGTCAGTCAGTTTTAATTTTAAATGCAGTTATTTATGTCACATTTTGTGAAGGAAGGTTGAATTCCTGAATATATCCTTCAGTAGTCCCATAAAATCCTTATTTATCGTTGGTGGGAAATTAAGACTTTATTAAATAAATAAATGAATGAATAAATAAATAAATAAATAAATAAATAAATAAATAAATAAATAAAT